TATTACTGCACTGTTGGCGCTAGAAACAAACATTTTGCTGCAACTGTGATAACATCTGTGTAAGTGACCAATACACTTTGATTGGCTGCATTGTGAGGCACTATTGTCAACCAATCGTAAGGGTGTTTTTGTTTGACCCAGGCTAATGTGACAAAGACGTGACTAAAACAGGAACCAATTTTTCCACAATTCATGTATACAGTTGATATGTACAAATTTAATGTGATATTTGAGGCCCTCTCTCACCAATTGATTGTACAATGTACACACATACACTGTGTACAAAACATTAGGAACACTTGCTTTTTTCCATGATAGACTGACCAGGTGAAAGATATGATTCCCTTATTGATGTCACTTGTTAAATCCACTTCAATCAGTGTAGATGAAGGGGAGGAGACAGGTTAAAGAAGGCTTTTTGAGACGTAGCTTGTGTACTGTATCTTGTCAGCGTATGATATGGGGGGGTTGGAGACATGTTTATTTCAACATTATAAAGAACAAACTTTTATAAACAATGGCAACGCTGCCATGTTGCACGGAGCCTTGCGGTTGGAAAACCACATCAGTGTCCGACTTTCGGCTGTCCCAGATGCACCTCCCCCCGACTTCACTCCGCGACTACAGTCGGTTGCTTTCGCATTACCCCTCAAACAAGACCAATACGTATTTTATTCCAAAATAAATCCATTGATGGACCCTTTTTTTAAGCATCTTATACAATGTACTTTATCTCTTTGAGTGACAGTGAGCTTCTGGAGGGAAGAAGGAAGGATGAAATTTGATAACTTTAAAGGCTGACAAGAAATAGGGTAACTACTTATGTCATATAGCGAGACGTAGTCACAAACCTGCTTTTGCTAATCTATGCACCTTTATCTCGTGCATGTGCTCGTTTCAAACGGGAGATTTCTTCCTGATACTCTGCGTTCGTTTTTTTTTTTTAAACAACCACTGATATCTCCAAAGCAATTGCGGTTAATTTTTCGTTGATAAACACATTAAGCAGCTGTAATTGAGACATTTGTGGAGGAAAGGGATAGAAGTTGGGAGAAATGTAACACTAGTCACTTTAATGATGTTTACATATCTTGCACTACTCATCTCATATGTATATACTGTATTCTATTCTGTAATATTCTACTGTATCTTAGTCCATGCCGCTCTGTCATTGCTTGTCCATATATGTATATTTTCTTAAATTCCATTCCTTACTAGTTTTGTGTGTATTGGGTATATGTTGTGAAATTGTTAGATATTACTGCACTGTCGGAACTAGAAGCACAAGCATTTCGCTACACCCGCTATAACATCTGCTAAACACGTGTATGTGACAAAATTTGATTTGAAATTGTTATTAGCTATGCTGCTCAAGAACCACTTGCGATAATTTTTTTGATTCAGCAAGTTCTGATTGGTGATTTCACTTCTTGTTTTTTTTCTACAAAACTTCAATCGTCCAATCATCATGGACGTCATTGACATACAGTATGTAAAACATATTATGCATTGTATAATTTATTTACTTCAAATCACAGATACATCCCAAATAAGGCAAGGGGCGGCACGTAGCTTAGCAACAACATAACAACAACAACAACATAATAATAATAATAAAGAAACGCAAAATCGATAGTCAAAATTCATTTTATTACCTTGGTGTGGTGTAGGTGAATTGTTTCTGGTATTATGTAACTTGTATATACACTAAACTACAATATAATAATTACACAATTCTCAAATTACGATCATCAGAACAATTGCATGAACAGGAGTGCATTAGTCTAAGAATTTAAATAAGTGAGTACCTTCTGAAACTGCATATGAGGACTCACACTGGGGAGGAACCATTTCAGTGCAAAGACTGTGACAAATCACAAAATGTTGTATAATCATGTTAGCTAGGTATTATCTAGTGTCTGTCATGTGAACGTCATGTTAGCTAGGTATTATCTAGTGTCTGTCATGTGAACGTCATGTTAGCTAGGTATTATCTAGTGTCTGTCATGTGAACGTCATGTTAGCTATGTATTATCTAGTGTCAGCAATGTGATAATATTAAGCAGTATGTGTTAATTCCACTGGTGAAAAGAAAATGAGTGAAAATAAAATTAGGGACAATAAAATAATTGTGGCATCAACCAAGATGATTGGTTTGTTCCCAAATGTCAATATTTACACAGTAAAGTATAGCCTACATATGAACTGTTTCTACTCATATCTCAAATCGAAACATTACACCATACTACATTATGTACCCACTTGCCTGTATGTTATCTTATACGTCAGGCTATTGAAGACGTTCTTCCTCTAACTCTTTCGTTTTCTGTATATTCACCACTATGCTCATTTCAAACCCCATGCAATTATCCCGTTCATCACCATATACTTCAGACTAGAGTAGCTATATCATAGTTTTGTGTGTGATACATTTCCACAGGATAAATTGACCTTGTGTGATCTAAAATACTTAAATGTGATACGTTTATTACAGCTTGTAATAAAAGTGTGTCTTCGGGGTTTGATGATGACTGTTAACTTGTCAAAGACCACGGTCCAAACGTACCCTGACAGCCGACACACTACTGTAAGACTGAGTATTTATACTGCCCTTGTACTATTGCAACTGAATATGAGCCTCTCTGTAAAAACGTTTCCATCCACAGTTTTTATACGAGTAAAGTCATACCGTATAAAAATTAAATCACGACAGCTGTGGTGGAAACAGGAAGTTTCGGTACAATTGTATACATTTGGGCGACAGATAATTTGTCCGTTCGACCTGGTGGGATTTTCCATGTGTCTGTAAAATTAATTATGCGAGAAATGACGGTGGAAATGCCTTTTATGCGCAAATATTGATATAATAACCATAATATCTAAGTAAACTTGGAGTCACATGATGACATGGTGTGTGTGGTCCTCCCACTATGAGTCGGGAAACCATGCAGTCTATTAGGCTACAGATAAATGATGATGTACTTCACTGTCTGGTGAAAGTGCATTATGATGAGCTTAATGCTCCTTTCCAATACATATTCTGGGTCTTATTCTGGTGACATGATGATCGATGCTTGACTGCTGTTTGACAAATACAAATATTCTCGCTCTTATCCATAATAATCTCATCGTGTAAACTAGCCTAACCGCACTGTATCGGCGAGCTGTTGGCTAGAGCGCATGTGCCAAGACCGCTAAAAAGTCGGTAGATTTGTTGCTAGTCGCTTTTTTTTGAAAATGTGTCGCGAGTTTTCAGACCCCCTCTAGCGACACATTTTCAAAAAAAAGCGACTAGCAACAAATCTACCGACTTTTTCTGGTGTTATTGGAGGACTTTTGACGTGAAAGCACGTATCGTTCTTACTCTTCTCAACGAGCAGCGGGTGTTTTGTTACCCCCCCTGTCCCAAAGCACTCACAGGCGGCGCAGTCAGAGCAGGAGATGTTCACCCCTCCGCGTCCAGACCGCAAATGAATCGCGCATGCGGGAAGCTGCCACTGACTGATCCCGCCCTGGCTGATCCCGCCCTGGCTAACATTCAGGGTGGGATGTAAATGTAAAACCAAATAAATAAATAATAATAATCAAAAAAGATTCGACAGAAGAAAGTTCATTTTGTAGTTCTAGACATATTTAGGGTGTACTCATCCAATTACATGCACATGGCCAATTATGCAAATTAGGCGATGACGTCATTTAGCGACTTTTAGGACAGCCAATAGCTACTTTCCTTACTGAGGAGTTGGCAATACACTGGAGTAGGCCTATTTAACGCAACAGTTTTTTGTAACTAAACTATCCGTAGAGTTGAAAACGCGATGGAAACACATTGAACTTTTAGATTTTTATTCGGCACATGAAAATTTAAGCGAAAAAGTAAATAGTATGCACTACGTCATCACACACTGATTTTTGATCCACAACAAGTCCGTTTGGTGGAAACACACCGCTGGTGGGAAAATGGGCATATTTTCTTTATGCCGATTTTTAGAATATTCGCATTGAAAATCTGTCGCCAATTGGATGGAAACCTGGTTTATGATGTCTATGATTGTACTCAAGCAGAGTGGAACATATCTGTCTCTTATTTACAACTGGCCTCGATCTATCTACCACTGAATTCACTTGGTCAGTTTTCCTCTTCTGTTGCATTTTTGCTCTTCTTTTAAGCCCAGATCTAAAATGGAAAAACAGAGAGAAACATAAAAGTACTGAAATGTAAAAATAGACACAATATAAATTATGCTGTCCTACAGAATAATAAAATGAAGAGGGCAAGAAGAAGAATAGAATAAAATAGGATAAGACAGTAGCAGGTGTTACGGGTTTCAGTTTATCTTTCCAGGTTGGTTAGCATGTTAGCTGAGGCGCACTGATTGGAGTCACCTCGTTAGTGAGGATGTGTTTCACCTGTGCTGGCCCAGAGAGGGATCTTGTTAGTGAGGATCTGTTTCACCTGTACTGGCCCAGAGCGTGATCTCGTTAGTGAGGATGTGTTTCACCTGTGCTGGTATTTAGGACCTGCTGGCCCAGCTGGTATGTGTGCACCTACTGGCCCGGTGCATCAGTTGGAGAGGAGATGTTGGTAGCGCAACACCTCACGTTAGCGCTTTCACGTTAGTTAGCCAAAATAGTTTTGTGGTTTCCCCTGTTTGTTTGTCTCCATATTCGTTTTTACTCCCTATCCTAAATTGGTGTCGGTTGCTTTCCTTTAGTTTTACCTCTGAGGCAAATTTTGTGGGCACTCACGGTGTGTGTCTCTTATAAACCCCAGATGAGTTGCTTGCCAACTTGCAGTGGGTGTCTTTCAGAACCCCTTCTGAAACCCTCTCTGTTTTGTTTTGGTTGTCGACAAGACTTTTTGTTAGTTCCCTTTTCTGTGAGTGACAACATTTTGTGTGTGGGCCTTTGGGAATGTAACCCAGGTAATAACCCCTATCCCTCACCCTGAGAGTGTGGTCCCATGACCCTGAGCAGAAGGCCGTTCCGTCAGGAGACACACGCAGAGTGCTGACACGGTTTTCATGTCCAAACAGGATGGACACCCTCGTCCCCTTCAAGACATCCCACACGTTGATGGTGTAGTCGTTGTAGCCACCGAACAGTAGCCGGCCTGAAGAAGAAAATACATGTCCTCTTTCAACAATATAAACGCAACACATCATCTCTGATGAGAAGGTTAATGTGAAAGTAAGCTGTTCATATTCAACAGAAAATAACATTAATTTAATTTAGCACAAATCATTCTGGGTTTAGTTAGTGAAATTGATCACTAAAGAGTACAATCATTAGAACAGTAGAATAAGGGATCTATTCGCCGCGGACTGAATCGACCCCTAAGGGCCTTGTGTCTTACCACTGAGAGAGAAGTCAACACTGGAGGCACCAAATATGATGCTCTCTTTGGAATAAATGGCCACTTCTCTGTCTGCCCTCAGGTCATAGAGACGACACTGAAACAATCAATGTTTTGTTGTTTTTTTACAAAGAAATGACTTCATTAACTTTGACATTGAAAGGCAACGTGATCAAGCAGTAGATTATATGGACGGTAACTCACTGTAGCATCATCGGAGCCTGAAGCAAATGCATCTCCACTGGGGTAGTACCTGATGGTAAGGAGAGAAACGCCAGGTTATATAAGAAACCATGCAAAGGGGAAAGTAGAGTACTCATACTGAACATTAATACATGTCATTGTCAGTGTTGACAGTGCTATAAGTCGCTTTGAACAAACTCATATCTCGTGACCTCACCTGACGCTGTTGATGTCTGATTCGTGGGTTTCGAAGGACTGGATGCACTGGCCTGAGCGCATGTCCCATACGTTGGCCTTCTTGTCACAGCCCTGCGTTACACACACAGAGAAGAGGATTCTGGGTTCACCCATTAATGCCGACCTTTTGTCAGGTCGCCCTTGCAAAAGAGGGTTTAACCTCAAGGGCGTTTCAGTGTTAAATAAAGGTTGAGAATATAATTAATTAATTTATTTATTTAATTTATTTAATTTATAATATGTCACATGAATGTCAAATGAAACACAGTATCTTTATGTCCCTAGAGGTCGGGGTTCAAATCTCAAGCCCGCCACTATGGTGCCCTTTCATCTGTTTCCCCTTATCATTTCAAATCTATCTCTTGGAATAACAATTTTTTTTTTTTTTATTACGAAAACGAACGTTTTTATTTTTTTTTAAGGGAAAAGAGGACAGAAAAGGTTTAGAGGAGCAGTCATGCTGTTTTTTTTTTTTTCTCACAATTTTCCCATTGTGGAACAAAGTGAAATACTACTAGTCCTCCCCTCACCCCAGAGACGAAGGTGTTGCCTGTCTCAGAAGGAGCCAGGTCCAGACAGAGAACATCGGCGGCGTGTCCATGGAAACTCTGCAACAGCTGACCACTCTCCACATCCCATAATGCACAGGTTCCGTCTCCGCTCGACGTCAGGATCTGGAACAGAAGGGGTTCGTCACAAACTGCACCTTGGGATCACAACAGAACACTAACTTCCACTCAGTCATCCATTGAATGCCAATGTGAGAGTAAGTGACAATTAGACTGAAGGTTAGGATTCACCCCATAATGTACATCCAGGACTGGTTTCCCAGAATAATGTACATCCAGGACTGGTTTCCCAGAATAATGTACATCCAGGACTGGTTTCCCAGAATAATGTACATCCAGGACTGGTTTCCCAGACCTATATTAGGCTCATTTCAGGACTAAAAGGAATTTTCACTGGAGATTCTATATTGAATATATCAGGGAAACCGGCTCCCAGAATTCTCTGACACTGCCTCATAAATAGAAGAGTCTTGGCCGAGGCTAAAGCATGTGACTAACTACATCCAATGGAGATCATTTGACTGTTGTGAATTATTAAACAAGAATGAAAGTTCTTTCCAGGTCGGACATAGAGTAATGGACTGTATAGTATGACAGGCTGTGATTTCCCATTGCTCATCTGCCATTGGAAAGTAAACTGATTTAGCAGTAATCAAGTAATTCAATGAGTTATAGAAAGGAGCAAATACAAAACCTTGGTAAAGACTACAACAAAATATACAAATGTACGACAAATAATCATGTGTCTTCTCTAACCTGCATGTCTGAGTTGGTGAAGCTACAGGCAGATAAGTAGTTGGTGTGCATGGCGACAGACTTCTTCTTCGCTGCCAGGTTCTCATTCTTGTCCAAGGACAGCGGGTACACTGAGCACTTATTGTCCAGACCACTGAAATACAATCAATCGATCGATCAATCAAGTTGTATTTTACAAAGCTTTTAACGTCAACATTTGTAACAGTGTTTTTCCTGTAACCGGACCTAGACCCCAAAGGGCAAGCAGAAGCACAGTGGAGAAACGGAGCGTCTGGGTGGAGTTGGGGGACTTACCCACAGGCCACTGCACATCCAGAGGGGGCGTAGGCACAGGCCATCACCCAGGTGCACGGCATGGTCACTGCATGCTCCTAGAAGACACCATGTTATAAAGGTATAAAGGTACAATCAGCAATATGACATCACGGTCACTGCATGCTCCTAGAGGACACCGTGTTATAAAGGTATAAAGGTACAATCAGCAATATGACATCACGGTCACTGCATGCTCCTAGAAGACACCATGTTATAAAGGTATAATCAGCAATATGACATCATGGTCACTGCATGCTCCTAGAAAACAATCAGCGTGTTTGAGGGGATCCATTTCAGCAAGGCGACGAGGCACCGAATCTCTGATCTTGATCACATAATGAGTAGTTATTTGGGATGCAAGGTGATTCTGCACAGTTCAACTGCAATGTAATCAATCTCAAATCCACGAGGGAGACTCAACACCATTGATATCACCAATCTCAGCGGGGGGAAACTTTGTGCTTACAGAACTAAGCAACCACAACAACAACAGAATTCAAATCTGCCAAGGGAATATTGGCTCTTCCTGTTCCCAATGTTGACATGCTTCAATGGAAAGGCAAAAATAAAACTGGCTATGAAAGCCGACGTCTGCTGGGCAAATTACACCCTATTACCTATATGACCTTGGTTTCAATGGGATTCAAAGGTCAAATAATTGCAAATATAGTGCACTACTTTTGACTAGGGTCAATAGGGCACTGGTCAAAAGTAGTGCACTATGTAGGGAATAGGGTGCCATTTGGGACACACTCGATGTTCTCATTTTTTCCCCCAATATCAGCTCAAAGAACTACAGAATTCTTGCAATTTTTTTCCAACCAATTGTCAACTCTATAGCCTTTCTGGACAGAGAAGAAAGATTCCCTACCTTGTTAGTGGTGAAGGCATCCCATACAATCACTTTTCCATCCTGAAAAGAAGTTAGCGGGGGAAAACATTAGAAGTGGCACACAGGCGTAAGATTCCCTACATTTCCAACAAAATATTGGCACTAATTTTATAACCACTGAAAGCAGTGCATATTAGTTGAAAAAAAAAATGAAAAAAAAAAAAAAAATCTGCACCATGGACAGCAACCGTCAGTATATCAGGCCTACTGCATGATCCCATCTGTTTTAAGACCTTTTCAAACCTCAAATTCACCAATGACAAGCTTATAATCCATTTCAGGACCATGGACAGTGACAGCCAGGAGTGGCGAACGCATGAATGCATATTTTAGGGACTTCAGAAAATGTTCCGATGATCCAACGCTCACCTGTGATGAGCTGACGATCCTCCTCTTGTCCTTACACCAGTCCATGCAGAGAACTTTGTTACCATGTCCCTTCAGAGTCCGCCGGGTCTTCATGATAAACTGGCCCAGTCCATCCACCTTCTCCGCCACCTGATGTACTATGGTAGGGACCAAGATCCAACATTAGTGTACTGTTGTAGGGAGTAGGGACCCGAGATCCAATGTTAGTGTACTGTTGTAGGGATTAGGGAACAAGATCCAATGCTAGTGTACAGTTGTAGGGAGTAGGGACCGAGATCCAATGTTAGTGTACTGTTGTAGGGAGTAGGGACCGAGATCCAATGTTAGTGTACTGTTGTAGGGATTAGGGAACAAGATCCAATGTTAGTGTACAGTTGTAGGGAGTAGGGACCGAGATCCAATGTTAGTGTACTGTTGTAGGGAGTAGGGACCGAGATCCAATGTTAGTGTACTGTTGTAGGGAGTAGGGACCGAGATCCAATGTTAGTGTACTGTTGTAGGGAGTAGGGACCGAGATCCAATGTTAGTGTACTGTTGTAGGGAGTAGGGACCGAGATCCAATGTTAGTGTACAGTTGTAGGGAGTAGGGACCGAGATCCAATGTTAGTGTACAGTTATAGGGAGTAGGGACCGAGATCCAATGCTAGTGTACAGTTATAGGGAGTAGGGAACAAGATCCAATGTTAGTGTACTGTAGTAGGGAGTCCCTAGATCCAACGTTAAAATATGGTATTTGTGGACCAGCATCCGACATTAGGGCACTGTTGTAGGGATCAATCTAACATTCGAGTGGTTAGTTATAGGGGCCTAGCAATAGCTAACGTTAGTGCACTGTTGTTATAGGGACGAAAATCCGATATTAGCCAGTGGTTATAATACCACGAGCAAGGTCTTTAATGTGTTCTGGCATTAATACATCCCACCGGTTGGGGATGAAAGTGAAGTAAACGGTTAGAGACGTTAAATGAATCTCTCTGATCTCAACAAGGTCGACAAACTAGGCATAAATCAAGGATATCTGTAGCTCAGCTGGTAGAGCAAGGCGCTTGTAACGCCAGGGTAGTGGGTTCGATACGTAAAAATGTATGCACACATGACTGTACATCGCTTTGGATAAAAGCGTCTGCTAAATGGCATATTATTATTATATTATAATGCTACAATCGCCATCTGGGCTAGGTTATAATAAAACTGTGCTTTTGAGTGTCAACAGAAATGGCAAATACTGGAGAAAATTCAACCACAGCCTAGCCTGTATATCTAATTGCAGAAGGAAATATACAAATAGCAATTCTATGCATCTTGTCATCTGAACAAATCCGACAAGTAAAAATAATAAAACATGGGCGAACAAGTGGCTACAAATAACCCTTTACAAATTATGCAAAGATAATTCATTTTCTTCACATTACTGATTCAATGCACTGTGGCCTAATAATAGCAATATCACACATTCACAATATATGCCTATAATATATATATTCTAATATGGTCGGCTTTACATTGTTCATGCAATCCTATTCGGGACGGCAGAATATGTATTAATTCGCCCGGCCTTCCCTTCTCCGTTCACTTCCCGTCTCCTCTCTCATTCTCAGCACCACTCACGTTCGACATCGTGCAGCTTCGCTCTTTCGTCCTCCAGCTTCGTTTTCAACGAATCGGATTCCGCTTTTAGGTTAGTGAGAGTCTCGTTCGGTTGTACCTCCTGTGTAGCCATTTCAGGGTTTATGGAAAATCTCATATATTACCGTTGTCAGAGCAGCAGCGGGCGGCAAAAGGGCTCTTTGCAAACTAAAGGCTCGCAGCTGATGCAGCTGGCATGACGTCAGATAAAAGATGCTCTCCCAGTTTTCTAGTAGGGAAGCTGTCACTGGCAGTGGCACTATAAAGGCTAGATCCTCCACTGCGCAATAGCTATGATATATATATATTTTTTTTTAAACTGCCTTTACCACTGATAAAAGCATCTGCCAAATGGCATATTGTTACATGATTTCAGGGCTTGAGGATATACTATTGTACCTGCGTTGGGAGCCTTCCTCTTCAACATTCATCTGAAGCTCTTTTGAAATCTCCTCCACTTTTTTCTAATAAAAGAAGGAGATAAACGATTGGAATTGACTGAAATAACAATGGGATTGAGCCCAAACATTTAGATCTTAAGTGATGGTGTAGTGTACTGTGTCTACCGGTCATCTCTCTGGCCTGCTCCTCCAGTTGGACTTCCACTTCCTGTTTATGTCTTTTGTAGCTCTGACACCTGCTGTCTCAGCTCAGGTATGACCATGTTTTCCTGGTTCAGCCTGGCCACCTCCTGGCCAATGGCGTCGTTGACGGACGTTTTCTCCTGGAACAGTTTCTGCAGCTGATCGTTTTGGTTCTGCAGGCGTTCCACCGTGAACGCCAGCCCCTCCACCTGGCTGTCATAACCCTCGAAGGCTCTCCAGCACTCTGCCGGCAGAGGAACGATCAACCTCATTCACTAGCCTGGATTTCGAACAATCATGGCCGAAGTGTGAGTAAGTGTCTGTCATTCACATGGGTAGAAAACAGGCAGGTGGATCCTTACAGTAATAATAACCCTTAGCAGACGCTTTTATCCAAAGCTACTTCTAGTACAGTGAGTACATTTGGGAGAATTTAACCCGCAACCATTGCGTTGCTAGCGCCACACTCTTATCAACTGAGCCACACAGGACCATTCTTGGTCAGTGTCCCTTAGTTCAGTGTTTCCCAACTCCGGTCCTCCAGTACCTCCAAAAGTACATATTTTTGTTGTGACCCCAGACAAGCACACCTGATTCTACTTGTCCGGGGCTACAACAAAAATGTGTGCTGTTGGGTGTACTGGAGGACCGGAGTTGGGCTGTTGGGTGTACTGGAGGACCGGAGTTGGGCTGTTGGGGGTACTGGAGGACTGGAGTTGGGCTGTTGGGGGTACTGGAGGACCGGAGTTGGGCTGTTGGGGGTACTGGAGGACTGGAGTTGGGCTGTTGGGGGTACTGGAGGACAGGAGTTGGGCTGTTGGGGGTACTGGAGGACTGGAGTTGGGCTGTTGGGGGTACTGGAGGACTGGAGTTGGGCTGTTGGGGGGTACTGGAGGACTGGAGTTGGGCTGTTGGGGGGTACTGGAGGACAGGAGTTGGGCTGTTGGGGGTACTGGAGGACAGGAGTTGGGCTGTTGGGGGTACTGGAGGACCGGAGTTGGGCTGTTGGGGGTACTGGAGGACCGGAGTTGGGCTGTTGGGGGGTACTGGAGGACTGGAGTTGGGCTGTTGGGGGTACTGGAGGACTGGAGTTGGGCTGTTGGGGGTACTGGAGGACCGGAGTTGGGCTGTTGGGGGTACTGGAGGACCGGAGTTGGGCTGTTGGGGGTACTGGAGGACCGGAGTTGGGAAAGACTGCCTTAGTTAGCTAAACAAGTAGCATACTTTAGTCAGTAAATGTACAGGTGTTGTCTCAAACCCGGTAGCTTTCTGCAGTCCATCAAATGCAGTCAATAAATCCCAGACTTCATAGATCTGGTCTGGACCGTCAGAGGTCAACCTTTCAACAGAAACATGTGTAAAGCTTAAAGCTAAAGTGAACTTCTCTTCTCACAAATTTTAGGAAATACATAATGCCATTAGACTACCTGGAAATGACCTCCTCTTCAACCATGCCACTAAGAAGTTGTCTTGTGATCACACTCATCTTGGCTATACGGAGAGAGTAGAGTCGCAAACAATTATGTATGAGAAGTGACAACAAAATAATCTGGACTTGTAAAGCATTCATCAATCCACACAAAGACACTGTGGCATGAATATAAATATACCCATAACACAATACATTACAGAGAGTATTTTAGAATATAGAAAGCTACCTCTGGCCTGTTCTGACTGCTCCTTCATCTTCCTGTCCAGATCATCTCTCTGGGTCTGGAGGTTGTGAAGATCTTTACGTAACTCGGGGTATCACCTGGAAAGAGAAACACAGATGCTACCTAAAAAGGCCATCTTAAAATAAGAATGGATTCTAAGCCTCTGATCACCAGTATTAGATCATTTTCTTAAGAACTGTAATTTGTAAGAAGATGTAGGCCTTCAGCGTATATCAGTCCATTAACCCCTTCACCCTGCGGCCTCACCTTGACGTGTTTAGTGAGCTGTGTGACCTTTAACCTTACCTTGACATACTTGGTGAGCTGTATGACCTATGAACCCTCACCTTGACGTGCTTGGTGAGCTGTATGACCTTTGAACCCTCACCTTGACGTGCTTGGTGAGCTGTATGACCTTTGAACCCTCACCTTGACGTGCTTGGTGAGCTGTATGACCTATGAACCCTCACCTTGACGTGCTTGGTGAGCTGTATGACCTATGAACCCTCACCTTGACGTGCTTGTTGAGCTGTATGACCTGGTCCTGTAGCTCAGTGTTGACCTGCGCCTCCTCCTCTATCTGTCTCTGCAGGCTGACTCTCTCCTCCTTCAGCCTCCTGTTCTCCTCCCTCAGAACCTCCACCTCCTTCTCATGGTCCTCCTTCAGCCTCCTGTTCTCCTGTTCTCCTCCCTCAGAACCTACACCTCCTTCTCATGGTCCTCCTTCAGCCTCCTGTTCTCCTGTTCTCCTCCCTCAGAACCTCCACCTCCTTCTCATGGTCCTCCTTCTGCCTCCTGTTCTCCTGTTCTCCTCCCTCAGAACCTCCACCTCCTTCTCATGGTCCTCCTTCAGCCTCCTGTTCTCCTGTTCTCCTCCCTCAGAACCTCCACCTCCTTCACATGGTCCTCCTTCTGCAGCTCAAGGTTGTTCTCTGCAATCCTGAGGAACTAAACTAAATCAATCTCATGCCCGTTTCACACTACTGGACTGGACCTGAACCATACTGGACCTGAACCATACTGTACTGGACCTGAACCATACTGTACTGTACCTGAACCATACTGTACTGGACCTGAACCATACTGGACTGGACCTGAACCATACTGGACTGTACCTGAACCATACTGTACTGGACCTGAACCATACTGTACTGGACCTGAACCATACTGTACTGGACCTGAACCATACTGGACTGGACCTGAACCATACTGTACTGGACCTGAATCATACTGGACTGGACCTGAACCATACTGTACTGTACCTGAACCATACTGGGCTGGACCTGAACCATACTGACCTGAACCATACTGGACTGGACCTGAACCATACTGGACTGGACCTGAACCATACTGACCTGAACCATACTGGACTGGACCTGAACCATACTGACCTGAACCATACTGTACTGGACCTGAACCATACTGGACTGGACCTGAACCATATTGTACTGGACCTGAACCATACTGGACTGGACCTGAACCATACTGGCCTGAACCATACTGGACTGGACCTGAACCATATTGTACTGTACCTGAACCATACTGGACTGGACCTGAACCATACTGACCTGAACCATACTGGACTGGACCTGAACCATACGGTACTGGACCTGAACCATACTGACCTGAACCATACTGTATTGGACCTGAACCATACTGACCTGAACCATACTGACCTGAACCATACTGTACTGTACCTGAACCATACTGGACTGGACCTGAACCATACTGACCTGAACCATACTGTATTGGACCTGAACCATACTGGACTGGACCTGAACCATACTGACCTGAACCATACTGACCTGAACCATACTGACCTGAACCATACTGTACTGTACCTGAACCATACTGGACTGGGCCTGAACCATACTGACCTGAACCATACTGGACTGTACCTGAACCATACTGGACTGGACCTGAACCATACTGACCTGAACCATACTGACCTGAACCATACTGGACCTGAACCATATTGTACTGAACCTGAACCATATTGTATTGGACCTGAACCATACTGTACTAGCTCAGATATTCCCCCTTCACATTGTTCTGACCAGAACTGGTCCTGCTACTATGGTGGATGTGTAACCAGGCCAGCCCAGTACAGCTTGGCTCGGTTTAGCTCGGCTCAGCTCAGAACATGAAGCAACTCTTACTTTCTCAATCTTTCTGCTCGTTCCAGATCTTCTTTCAGAGTTGTCTTGATTTGATCAAAGCTGTCTGGAAATGAAAGAAGTGAATCACAGTAAAAATGATTGACCATATACTATATGTCAGTGCAATCCTGAACTAAACCACAGACCACACTTTTATGAGGTTTAAAAAGAGGATAGAGCAATCTAAGCCTCATTTCCTCTCTCTTACCTTTCATCTCTGTTGCTGAATCTGCTAACTTCTTTTCCAAGTTCTGCTTTTCAACGATTCATTTGTATTTTTCCTCTTGAAACTGAGCTATCATCTTAGTAGCATCCTCCTTGCTCTTCTTCTCTCGATCCTCTAGCGAAGCCTTCTCAGCGGCTGATTTCCCCAGCTGGGCCTCCAGACAGTGCAGCTTGTCTAGACCTTGGGCGTGAGAACCGGCCAGACCTGTCAGCCTCTCCGACAGCCTACGGTTCTCTTTGCCCTAGAGAGACATACAGCAGGGCATCAATCAAAGATAGGTCAGTACTGGGTCATGTCCATAAGGGCACGCAAGAGAAAACGTTTAAAAACATTTAGAAATGGAAAACGAAAATGGGTGTTTCTGATTGGACCAGTCCAGATTGTACCTCTGTGTTTGTTTCACACCGTTTCAAAGTATTTTCTTCTTTTGTAACTACGGAACACAACCCTGGTCTAGGGGGACGTTCAGTCAGTACCGGTGTCGGGAACGTTCTTACCTGATCCTCCAGTTTCTTCCTGAGCCGCTGGCACCTGTAGGAGAGCTGTATGTTGTGTACCAGGTAGCGCAGGGTCTGGAAGCATCTCCTGGCGAGCCACGCCCGGGCATACAGCGTCTGGAAGCGTCTCCTGGCGAGCCACGCCCGGGCATACAGGGTCTGGAAGCGTCTCCTGGCGAGCCACGCCCGGGCATACAGGGTCTGGAAGCGTCTCCTGGCGAGCCACGCCCGGGCATACTTCTGCAACACCAGCGCTTTCTGCACCTCTACCATCTGAGAGGTGTTACACACACAAACACACAGACGCGTGCAGACAGGGAGACAAGACTGACGCACACACACAACTTACAAACGTTGATAGATTGCCACAGCCATGTAAAATCAATTGAGATGAAGGCACAATACCTTTTTGTAGCGTTTCCTGGCGATCCAGCCTCTAGTGAAGGCTTGGATGGTGATAAGAGGAGGAACGGACCATCCTGTAGATCTGTCTGGTCAGATAACCTCTCCAGTACCTCTGAATGACCACAGTGGCCCGGCCCAGCCTCAAAGCTGCAGCTGTCACCGTTTTTACTGGAGAGACAGAGAGAGACCATCGAGAACATTCCTATACTGATCCCAAAATTCCTAAGTGCTATAGGCATGATATGAAGCCGGCCTGTTACTGTGAAGGAGGAAGAGGAGGAGGAGGAGGAGGGAAAGATCAAGAAAACAATAACAACAACAATAACAACAACAACAACAACAACAATAACAACACAACAATAACACCACCAACAACAATAACAACAACAATAACACCAACAACAATAACACCACCAACAACAACAATAACACCACCAACAACAACAATAAAAACAACAATAACAACAACAATAACACCAACAACACCAACAATAACACCAACAACAACAACAACAATAACAACAACAACAACAATAACAACACAACAATAACACCACCAACAACAATAACAACAACAATAACAACAACAACAACAACAATAACACCACCAACAACAACAATAAAAACAACAATAACAACAACAATAACACCAACAACACCAACAATAACAATAACAACAACAACAACAGTCTATGAATAACAGCATGTGATAACTAAGGTGTTGTAGTAGTACCTGCTGTAGTAGTACCTGTCTGTTGTAGTAGTACCTGTCTGCTGTAGTAGTACCTGTCTGTTGTAGTAGTACCTGTCTGTTGTAGTAGTACCTGTCTGTTGTAGTAGTACCTGTCTGTTGTAGTAGTACCTGTCTGTTGTAGTAGTACCTGTCTGCTGTAGTAGTACCTGTCTGCTGTAGTAGTACCTGTCTGTTGTAGTAGTACCTGTCTGTTGTAGTAGTACCTGTCTGCTGTAGTAGTACCTGTCTGTTGTAGTAGTACCTGTCTGTTGTAGTAGTACCTGTCTGCTGTAGTAGTACCTGTCTGTTGTAGTAGTACCTGTCTGTTGTAGTAGTACCTGCTGTAGTAGTACCTGTCTGTTGTAGTAGTACATGTCTGCTGTAGTAGTACCTGTCTGCTGTAGTAGTACCTGTCTGTTGTAGTAGTACCTGTCTGTTGTAGTAGTACCTGTCTGCTGTAGTAGGACCTGTTGTAGTAGTACCTGTCTGCTGTAGTATTACCTGTCTGTTGTAGTAGTACCTGTCTGCTGTAGTAGTACCTGTCTGCTGTAGTAGTACCTGTCTGTTGTAGTAGTACCTGTCTGCTGTAGTAGTACCTGTCTGTTGTATTAGTACCTGTCTGATGTAGTAGTACCTGTCTGCTGTAGTAGTACCTGTTTTAGTAGTACCTGTCTGCTGTAGTAGTACCTGTTGTAGTAGTACCTGTCTGCTGTAGTAGTACCTGCTGTAGTAGTACCTGTCTGCTGTAGTAGTACATGTCTGTTGTAGTAGTACCTGTCTGCTGTAGTAGTACTTGTCTGCTGTAGTAGTACTTGTCTGCTGTAGTAGTACCTGTTGTAGTAGTACCTGTCTGCTGTAGTAATACCGGTTGTAGTAGTACCTGTCTGTTGTAGTAGTACCTGTCTGCTGTAGTAGTACCTGTCTGCTGTAGTAGTACTTGTCTGCTGTAGTAGTACCTGTTGTAGTAGTACCTGTCTGCTGTAGTAGTACCTGTCTGTTGTAGTAGTACCTGTCTTCTGTAGTAGTACCTGTTGTAGTAGTACCTGTCTGCTGTAGGAGTACCTGTCTGCTGTAGTAGTACCTGTCTGTTGTAGTAGTACCTGCTGTAGTAGTACCTGTCTGCTGTAGTAGTACCTGCTGTAGTAGTACCTGTCTGCTGTAGCAGTACCTGTTGTAGTAGTACCTGTCTGCTGTAGTAGTACCTGTCTGCTGTAGTAGTACCTGTCTGCTGTAGTAGTACCTGCTGTAGTAGTACCTGTTGTAGTAGTACCTGTCTGCTGTAGTAGTACCTGTCTGCTGTAGTAGTACCTGTATTAGTAGTACCTGTTGTAGTAGTACCTGTCTGCTGTAGTAGTACCTGTATTAGTAGTACCTGTTGTAGTAGTACCTGTCTGCTGTAGTAGTACCTGTCTGCTGTAGTAGTACCTGTCTGCTGTAGTAGTACCTGTTGTAGTAGTACCTGTCTGCTGTAGTAGTACCTGTCTGCTGTAGTAGTACCTGTCTGCTGTAGTAGTACCTGTATTAGTAGTACCTGTCTGCTGTAGTAGTACCTGTCTGCTGTAGTAGTACCTGTATTAGTAGTACCTGCTGTAGTAGTACCTGTCTGCTGTAGTAGTACCTGTTGTAGTAGTACCTGCCTGCCGTAGTAGTACCTGTATTAGTAGTACCTGTTGTAGTAGTACCTGTTGTAGTAGTACCTGCCTGCCGTAGTAGATGTAAATTCCCACTCACCGTATCTGCCGCTGTCCACGGACGTACTGTTGGAGGACGATAGCCGCCTCCCTCATGCGGAGGAACTTCCTCCTGTGGTTCCACCCCCTCACGTGCTTCTGGATGGTCACACACGCCCTTCGGAGAAGATCCAATCGAAGCTTCTCCAGGTAGGCCACCTGACCCGCTCGGAAGAAGATCTTGGTCCGGCCAAACTTGTACTGGTTGGAGTCCTGGAGGGTAAGTGGATGACATCAGAAAAGAGCCCACATCAGTACAGATCAACCTGGTTATGAACACCACAGTTCAAACTGGTTATGAACACCATAGATCAACCTGGTTATGAACGCCACAGATCAACCTGGTTATGAACACCATAGTTCAAACTGGTTATGAACACCATAGATCAACCTGGTTATGAACGCCACAGATCAACCTGGTTATGAACACCACAGATCAACCTGGTTATGAACACCACAGATCAACCTGGTTATGAACGCCACAGATCAACCTGGTTATGAACACCACAGATCAACCTGGTTATGAACACCACAGATCAACCTGGTTATGAACACCACAGATCAACCTGGTTATGAACACCACAGATCAACCTGGTTATGAACACCACAGATCAACCTGGTTATGAACACCACAGATCAACCTGGTTATGAACACCACAGATCAACCTGGTTATGAACACCACAGATCAACCTGGTTATGAACACCACAGATCAACCTGGTTACGAACACCACAGATCAACCTGGTTATGAACACCACAAATCAACCTGGTTATGAACACCACAAATCAACCTGGTTATGAACACCACAGATCAACCTGGTTATGAACACCACAGATCAACCTGGTTATGAACACCACAGATCAACCTGGTTATGAACGCCACAGATCAACCTGGTTATGAACACCACAAATCAACCTGGTTATGAACACCAACATCATCAAATTCAGTGCAGCGCCCCTGGAGGAGTTTAGGAGTTAAAGTGCCTTACTCAGTGCACAATGACAGGAGAAAACTTCCAGGACACTAATGTCACAAACTCTCCCATTGCCGGCTCACTCCGAGTCCCCACCAGATTTTTCCCCTGTCGGACTGGGATTTGAACCAGCTACACACCGGCCAACACCCTCACCTGAATCAGCCTCTGCAGCACTGTCTTACAGGTCTGTTTCTTGTGGTTTTGGCCCAGCTCCTCTTGGCTCATCAGTACACTGTAGCGACTGTAGAACTATGTACGTCCACCTGGCAATTAAAACACAGTAAGTGAATATAAGGTTTAGCTTGTAGGGACGATTTCCTGGACACGGATAAAAGCCCAGTCCCGGAATACAAAATGTAATGATTCTATAAAACATTTAGTCCAGGAATGATTAATCTGTATCCGGGAAAACTGGCCCGTAGAGTTCACTGCTGTGTTATTGTTGAATTATGGAGGTGTGGATCCTGGTCAGGATCACCTGGAGGGGTAGCTCTGAGCGCTGACGTGAATGGTCTCCAGGACTCCACATGCCCTCAGCTGCTGAACCACCCGCTTGGAGTCAATACCTGACAAGACATAATGACACACTCAGGGGTTATTAAAATGGCTGAATGCATAACTAATACCCAGGTCCAGGACGACACAAAGTGGAGACTTCAGAATGAAAATATCTTTGAAAACTGTAATATACAGTAATTTCAAGGCCCATTTTACACATTTAGCAAGATATACTGGTAGATGACTTATTCAAATGGCATCTTTTTTGCTCATTGGGTTTGATTCAGCGTACGTAGTGAGGGGTAGTGGCATTGGTCCTCTGTAGCTCAGCTGGTAGAGCACGGCACTTGTAACGCCAAGGTAGTGGGTTCGATCCCCGGGACCACCCATACACAAAAATGTATGCACGCATGACTGTAAGTTGCTTTGGATAAAAGCGTCTGCTAAATGGCATATTATATTATTCAGAGTCTCCATCAGCAGGTACAGAGAACTGCTGAACTACAGAAGTGTCAAATACAATAGAGCCTGCAGACAGTCACAAAAAATAACACACTATACAGACCCTGTTATACATACCATTATTACAAAACCCTGTTGAAGACAATCACCCAAACCGTGTTTTAATAATATATTTTTTTAAGCAGACTTCCATTGTCCCACTACCGAGAGTTGCTAAATATGTTTTAATCTTCACACATGTACGATTGCAAATGGGGTACAGTCACTAAAATAGTATCTAATCACTAATCTCTTAGCTATGTATCTCTTAGCTATGTATCTCTTAGCTATGTATCTCTTAGCTATGTATCTCCTAGCTATGTATCTCTTAGCTATGTATCTCTTAGCTATGTATCTCTAAGCTATGTATCTCTTAGCTATGTATCTCTTAGCTATGTATCTCTTAGCTATGTATCTCTTAGCTATGTATCTCCTAGCTATGTATCTCTTAGCTATGTATCTCTTAGCTATGTACCTCTTAGCTATGTACCTCTAAGCTATGTATCTCTTAGCTATGTATCTCTTAGCTATGTATCTCTTAGCTATGTACCTCTTAGCTATGTATCTCTTAGCTATGTATCTCTAAGCTATGTATCTCTTAGCTATGTATCTCTTAGCTATGTATCTCTTAGCTATGTATCTCTTAGCTATGTACCTCTAAGCTATGTATCTCATAGCTATGTACCTCTTAGCTATGTATCTCTTAGCTATGTATCTCTTAGCTATGTATCTCTTAGCTATGTATCTCTAAGCTATGTATCGCTTAGCTATGTATCTCTTAGCTATGTATCTCTAAGCTATGTATCTCTTAGCTATGTACCTCTTAGCTATGTACCTCTTAGCTATGTATCTCTTAGCTATGTATCTCTTAGCTCTGTACCTCTTAGCTATGTACCTCTTAGCTATGTATCTCTTAGCTATGTACCTCTTAGCTATGTACCTCTTAGCTATGTACCTCTTAGCTATGTATCTCTTAGCTATGTATCTCTTAGCTATGTATCTCTTAGCTATGTACCTCTTAGCTATGTACCTCTTAGCTATGTATCTCTTAGCTATGTATCTCTTAGCTATGTATCTCTTAGCTATGTACCTCTTAGCTATGTACCTCTTAGCTATGTACCTCTTAGCTATGTATCTCTTAGCTCTGTACCTCTTAGCTATGTACCTCTTAGCTATGTATCTCTTAGCTATGTACCTCTTAGCTATGTATCTCTTAGCTATGTATCTCTTAGCTATGTATCTCTTAGCTATGTACCTCTTAGCTATGTACCTCTTAGCTATGTATCTCTTAGCTCTGTACCTCTTAGCTATGTATCTCTTAGCTATGTATCTCTTAGCTATGTATCTCTTAGCTATGTACCTCTTAGCTATGTATCTCTTAGCTATGTATCTCTTAGCTATGTATCTCTTAGCTATGTACCTCTTATCTATGTATCTCTTAGCTATGTACCTCTTATCTATGTATCTCTTAGCTATGTACCTCTTAGCTATGTATCTCTTAGCTATGTATCTCTTAGCTATGTATCTCTTAGCTATGTACCTCTTATCTATGTATCTCTTAGCTATGTACCTCTTAGCTATGTACCTCTTAGCTATGTATCTCTTAGCTATGTATCTCTTAGCTATGTACCTCTTAGCTATGTACCTCTTAGCTATGTACCTCTTAGCTATGTACCTCTTAGCTATGTACCTCTTAGCTATGTATCTCTTAGCTATGTACCTCTTAGCTATGTATCTCTTAGCTATGTAAACATGGTCGGTCACCTACCTTCTCTCCCACAGTGGTCCTGTGGTTCTTATTGGCTGGTTTCACCCCAGGCCGGGCAGGCCTCACTTTGATGCCTTTAGTGCCCATCCCGGCTGGCTCCACCTCCAGGAAGAAAGTTGGCTAGGAGAGGAAACTGATAAGGTTCCGGAATAGAAGGAGTCAAACGTAACAAGTCCAGTATGGGTCAAACAAGGGAAAAGAGAAGTTATGATTTATTTTAATCGTTATTCATATTTATGTACATGTACTTAAACAACAATATAAATGTAATAACCATGCAACAGTGTGTTAATAAACACTATGGGAATGTAATCGCAGACAGTACCTTACTGGTTCTCATGGTGTCCACCAGCTCTTCATACAGTGTGTCTCTGTTCTTCTCTAGAAAACCCCAGCATTGATATTCTACCTGTAATGGCACAAAACAGATTTCAAAGCAAAGCCACAGATTTGAGGTGTGTGTTGGTGAACAGGTGTAACAGACTGTTCAAATCAGGTATTAGAAAATATATTTCCTTTACAAATGACTGAAAATATAACTATGAACTATAAAAACATGATACATTGATGTAAAATTCGAGAAGCAGGGTTGGGTTCCATTGAATTCCATTGAAATTTAGTAAATTCGGGAAGTAAACTGATAATCCAATTGCTTCCTGAAATGACTGAATCCAACCCTGCTGAGTTCCACAGTAACACAAAGGGCCTGTGACTGTGGAATGTACCTTGTCAGCAAAAGTGTTGTATGATGAAGGCCTCGTTAGACATCCTGGGCTTCTCAAACAGAGGGTTGTCAGCTAGGTAGTTATACAGCTTCTGAAGCCAGTTCTGATCAGTACCCTGGGGGGGAACTGGACAGTATTAGAAATACACACCAACAGTCGGGTCTAGTGGTAGTGTTGCCGACTCTGGAATACATAAAGCCTCTGGTGACGGGAGTGTGTGTGTGTGTTGTTGTTGTTGTGTGTGTGTGTGTGTGTGTGTGTGTTGTTGTGTGTGTGTGTGTGTGTGTGTGTGTGTGTGGTGTGTGTGTGTGTGTGTGTGTGTGTGTGAGAAACACCCTCCATCTTGTATATCATCCATTTTACTTCCCCACTGTCTTGTCATACAAAGAGGATCCACATCATTGTTATGTACGTCATTGGTCTCACCAGGCATTCTTCATCCAGCAGGTCCAGGATACCCATCTTAGCTTCAATCAGGTCAATGACCACCGGCTGGTTGTCATAGAAGTCTTTCAGAGTCCAACGAATATCCTCCTTCATGTACTCCTCCTGCTCCAGCTTGAACACATGCTGAGAGGAAACAATTACAAAAATATATCTTAGTCGTTTCAATCTTTTCATACTGCTGTTTTTTATTGCAAGAGCTCTAGTGAGTAAGATTCCAATGTATTTAGTACAGTACAGTATGGCAAATATTATTGGACTTGGACTTGGTGAGGTTACATACCAAGTTGGACTTGGTGAGGTTACATACCAAGTTGGACATGGACTTGGTGAGGCTACATACCAAGTTGGACATGGACTTGGTGAGGCTACATACCAAGTTGGACTTGGACTTGGTGAGGCTACATACCAAGTTGGACTTGGACTTGGTGAGGTTACATACCAAGTTGGACATGGACTTGGTGAGGTTACATACCAAGTTGGACATGGACTTGGTGAGGTTACATACCAAGTTGGACTTGGACTTGGTGAGGGGGGAGGGAGGGAGAGAGAGAGAGAGAGAGAGAGAGAGAGAGAGAGAGAGATAGAGAGAGAGAGAGAGAGAGATAGAGAGATCGAGAGCGAGAGAGAGGATCGAGATAGCGAGATCTCTCTCTCTCGCTATCTGCGAGTCTCGCCGCTCCGCCTCTATCGCTCATCTCGCTCTCTCTCTGCTCTCCTCGCTCTCTCTCTCTCTCTCCGCTCTATCCTCTCTCTCTCTCTCCTCCGCTTGCTCTCTCGCTCTCTCGCTTCTCTCTCTCTCTCTCTCTCTCCTCGCTTCTCCTCTCTTCTCTCGCCGCTCTCCTCTCTCGTTGTCTTCTTTTCAAAATGATGCCCTAATCTGGCTCGAAGGACCATTACAAATATGATCCACCTTATCTGAAGTAGTGAGCCAAGTCAAAAAGATTTTTCCTGAGAAAACCTTTAGTAAAACTTAAACCAAAGTTAAATCTGAGTCCTACTTACACTAACTGATGATCTGTCTGATCCAACGTTTCTGATTTCTACATTCCCCAGGTGTAGAATCCCAGCCGGCACCTTGAACACATCAGCCTGGAAGTCCTCTGTTAGCCCTACCAGAGGACAGAGGACAGGGGACAGGGGACAGGGGGTGAGACTGTATCCTGCAGACGTGCCTACATAAGGACATAACACATTCATAAGCAGTACGTAAGGATGCTATAATCGCTTACGTAACAACCACATGTTATGAATGTGTCCTTATGTAGGATTTAAATATATTGTATTGCTTATTCTTATCTTTTATTATTTCTTTAATGTTGTCGCATTATCGGGAGGGAACCTGCAAGTCAGCATTTCGTTAGACAGTGTACACCATGTGTATCCTGTACATACGGTGGTGTAAAGTACTTAAGTCAAATCAAATCAAATTTTATTTGTCACATGCGCCTTAATACAACAGGTGTAGACCTTACCGTGAAATGCTTCCTTACAAGCCCTTAAACAACAATGTAGTTTTAAGAGAAATAAGTGTTAAGTAAATAATAGATAAGTAAAAAATAAAAGCTGTAAAATAACAGTAAAGATAACATTAGCGAGGCTATGAGAATCAATGTGCGGGGCACCGGTTAGTCGAGGTAATTGCGGTAATATGTACATGTTGGTATAGTTAAAGTGACTATGCAAATACTTTAAGTACTACTTAAGTAGTTTTTCTGGATATCTGTACTTTACTTTACTATTTATATCTTTGAAAACTTGTACTTTTACTTCACTACATTCCTAAAGAAAATAATGTACTTTTTACTCCATACACCCAAAAAGTACTCGTTACATTTTGAATGCGTAGCAGGACAAGAAAATGGTCTAATTCACACACTTATCAAGAGAATATCCCTGGTCATCCCTACTGCCTCTGATCTTGTGGACTCACTAAACACACATGCTTCGTAGGTAAATGATGTCTGAGTGTTGCAGTGTGCCCCTGGCTGTCCGCAAATTCAAATAACAAAAAAATTGCGCCGTCTGGTTTGCTTAATATAAGGAATTTGAAATTATGAATATTTTTACTTTTACTTTTGATACTTAAGTATATTTAAAACCAAATACTTTTAGACTAGAGTCCCTGGCTATGGGACTCTAGTTGTTGAGCCAGGGTGTGTTTGTTCTATGTGGTGTGTTTCTATGTTGGGGGTTCTAGTTCGTCTATTTCTATGTTTTGCCTGAGTGACTCCCAATCAGAGGCAACGAGTGTCAGCTGGTTGTCTCTGATTGGGAGCCATATTTAAACTGTCTGTTTTCCCTTTGTGTTTGTGGGTTTTTGTTCCGTGTTGGTTCGTGTTTGTAACCAGGGACGTCACGTTTTCGTTTTGTTGTTTTTGTTCGTGTGTTTATTCATTTAATAAAATGTTCGCATTCAACGCTGCGCCTTGGTCCTCCTCTGTAGATGACGATCGTGACAGAAAAACCCACCAAAACTGGACCAAGCAGCGTGAAGAGGAGAGAGGAAGGACTTGGGATCGATGGAGTAGGGGTCTCGACTGGGCTAAGCCGAGTGAAGAGCAGAGAGGGTGGACTTGGGAACAGTGGAGGAAGAGTCTCGACTGGGTCAAGCCTAATGAAGAGCAGAATGGCTGGAGTTGGAGGCAGAAGAGCGAGAGTTGGGCGAAAACTATAGAGGCCTGGCCCACGGGGAGGAGAGACCCCCAGAAAATTTTTAGGGGGGGGGCTCACGACGTCGGGGCAGCAGGAGGCCGCGATAGAGCGGTCCAGCGGGTTGGCAGAGGAGGCCGCCATGTTAAGGGGGCCACTGGTCACTAAGGGGAAGGAAAGTGTGGAGGCACGGCGAGAGGTACTGGGGTGTGTTACCAGTCCGGTCCGGCCCGTTCCTGATCCCCGCGTAGGGCCAGGGGTGTGTGTCCCCAGTGCGGTCCGGTCTGTTCCTGTTCCTCGCATCGAGCCTGTGGTGCGCGTCGCCAGCCCGGTCCGGCCTGTTCCTGCTCCCCGCATCGAGCCTGTGGTACGCTTCGCCAGCCCGGTCCGGTCCGTTCCTGCTCCCCGCACCAAGTCAGTAGTGCGCTTCGTCAGCCCGGTCCGGCCCGTTCCTGCTCCCCGCACCAAGTCAGTAGTGCGCTTCGTCAGCCCGGTCCGGCCCGTTCCTGCTCCCCGCACCAAGTCAGTGGTGCGCTTCGTCAGTCCGGCACGGCCCGTGCCTGCTCCCCGCACCAAGCCTACGGTGTGCGTCGCCAGCCCGGCCCGGCCTGTTCCTGCCCCTCACACCAAGCCTACGGTGCGCATCGCTAGCCCGGTAAGGCCCGTTGCTGCTCCACGCACCAAGCCTACGGTGCGCGTCGCCAGCCCGGCCTGTTCCTGCCACTCGCACCAAGTCTACGGTGCGCGTCGCCAGCCCGGCCCGGCCTGTTCCTGCCACTCGCACCAAGTATACGGTGCGAGTCGTCAGCCTGGTCCAGCCCGTTCCTGCCACTCGCACCAAGCCAGGGGTGCGAGTCGTCAGCCTGGTCCAGCCCGTTCCGGCCACTCGCACCAAGCCAGGGGTGCGAGTCGTCAGTCCAGTGAGGCCCGTTGCTGCTCCATGCACCAAGCCAGGGGTGCGTATCGTCAGCCAGGTCCGGTCCTTTCCTGCCTCACGCACCAAGCCAGGGGTGCGCGTCGTCTGTCCGGCACAACCCGTGCCTGGGTCACCGGTGCCTAACCAGGTACCGGTCAACGGCTCCACTACGGAGTTGAAGCTAACCGCTCCTGCTACGTCCAGTCCAGCTCTAGCCAGCGGGGCCAGACCGGACCAGGGGCGCTATGGGGGGTTTGTTGGAGGGTGGTGGGCAAGCCCGGAGCCAGAACCGCCGCCGAGGAGGTATGCCCACCCAGCCCTCCCCTGTTTTGCTCTTTTTGAGGCGCGGTCGCAGTCCGCGCCTTTAGGGGGGGTACTGTCACACCCTGGCTATGGGACTCTAGTTGTTGAGCCAGGGTGTGTTTGTTCTATGTGGTGTGTTTCTATGTTGGGGGTTCTAGTTCGTCTATTTCTATGTTTTGCCTGAGTGACTCCCAATCAGAGGCAACGAGTGTCAGCTGGTTGTCTCTGATTGGGAGCCATATTTAAACTGTCTGTTTTCCCTTTGTGTTTGTGGGTTTTTGTTCCGTGTTGGTTCGTGTTTGTAACCAGGGACGTCACGTTTTCGTTTTGTTGTTTTTGTTCGTGTGTTTATTCATTTAATAAAATGTTCGCATTCAACGCTGCGCCTTGGTCCTCCTCTGTAGATGACGATCGTGACATAAGGTATCTTTAATTTTACTCAATTGTGTACTTTTTTCCACCACTGTGTACATATGACTAATAAAACTTGAACTTGTCATCATCAAAAATAATCGTATTATTCAGTATATGCTTCACACAGCAATATGTTGACCTAAAGGGTGATGAACAGAGTGATGACTCTTACCCAACAGAGAGAACGTCCTGCGTAGTCTCTTCCATGTCCTTTTCGTCATCCACCCCACTCGATACCCGTCTCCCCGCCCATGCAGGTGTACCTGAACTCATCTGCACTCACTGGACACACACAAAACAAGAATGTGTCCTTAACTGACTCGCCTGGTTCAGTAAAGATTAAATAAATACAAAAATTATGAAATGACGATGAGATGACATTTACATTTTAGTCATTTAGCAGACGCTCTTATCCAGAGCGACTTACAGGAGCAATTAGGGTTAAGTGCCTTGCTCAAGGGCACAGACAGATTTTTCACCTAGTCGGCTCGGGGATTAGAACCAGCGACCTTTCGGTTACTGGCACTACGCTCTTAACCACTAAGCTACCTGCCGACATTCATGGACTATTTGTGGTTGTGCGTCTATCATCTAAATACAAGTAACAGTTGACTGTTCCTTCTCCAGTCACTCACAGGTCTTACGTCAGTGAGAATAACTTTTACGAAATAAAGGTTTAAATGAAACTCACACAATCTCGGGCTCTTGAACCCAGGCTGGGCTGCACAGGCACACATCTGGTAGAAGAGGTGGTAGTTTCTCTCGTTCTCTGACTGAAGAGAAAAAAATACACTATTACTATCTGATGGCATGCATTGATTCTAGCCTGGTCCCAGATCTGTTCGTGTTGTCTTGCCAACTCATATGGTCGTTGTCATGGCAAGGCGATGGCAAGACAACACAAACAGATCTGGAACCAGGCTAGAATGATTCACTGAAGTCTTCACCATTTTTAAACATGACCCAACTATACGCTAGCTAACAATACCCCTTACGTTATACACCACATATAATCAGAGATTAAAGTATGCGATGTATGACCTGGGAAACCACTCTAGATTTCTCCAGGAGATACGTCCTCATGTTGGCCCCGATGATCTGATATCTCCTGTCGAAGCTGATCTCTGTGTACTTCCCAAAGCGACTGCTATTGTCGTTCCTGGTCGTCTTGGCATTTCCTATAGCCTGACACACACAACAACAACAAAAACACACAGGTTACAAGTTTGTCCGTCATAGTTGATGATAATCAAGGCACATTGTAGATTAAGACGTGTGGGAAATACGGTGGCTGGTGAGGCCCAGTCTGTACGGTGGCTGGTGAGGCCCAGTCTGTACGGTGGCTGGTGAGGCCCAGTCTGTACGGTGGCTGGTGAGGCCCAGTCTGTACGGTGGCTGGTGAGGCCCAGTCTGTACGGTGGCTGGTGAGGCCACGTCTGTACGGTGGCTGGTGAGGCCCAGTCTGTACGGTGGCTGATGAGGCCCAGTCTGTGCCCGGAACACTCTGTGTCATACCGGACATGATCTGTCAGAGTATCACATTAGAACTGTTCATCTTTATTTTCTTTATCTACAGACGATCGATCCCCATTAGATGGAACAGGTTACCTAAGATTACTCATTCACATCTTGTGAGGTTACGTGTAACGTGGATTCACTGCTAGGACGCACTGATTCACAAACGTACCTCAGTTATTGGGTTGGATGCCAGAACTTTGTCTTCCACGTGCGTGTTGCTGCCTGACTTGCTGACCATAGCGAAGTACCTCATGGCGTATCTAGCAGACAGTCTTTCCCGCTCCAGACTTGCTGACCATAGCGAAGTACCTCATGGCGTATCTAGCAGACAGTCTTTCCCGCTCCAGACTTGCTGACCATAGCGAAGTACCTCATGGCGTATCTAGCAGACACAGTCTTTCCCGCTCCAGACTTGCTGACCATAGCGAAGTACCTCATGGCGTATCTAGCAGACACAGTCTTTCCCGCTCCAGACTCACCACTCACTATGATAGACTGACTGGTTCTTATTGTTCCTGAGAAAGGAAATGTATGTATCTGAGCAGGAATATACAGTATATTCACACTCTTTGCTTCTCATTTGTTGAACATTTGACAGTTGATCTCCTTTCAAGGATAAGTTCTATTGACAGATAGGCCCAAAGGGTTAAAATGTATGATGGGAAAATAGATTAAAGGCTGTAGAATAGGAAGCTATTGGGGGGCTCAGGGATTGAACCACTGCCTCCAGGAGCATAGCGTGGTCCGGGTGTAGTGTATTGACAATATGATGGTGTTAAAATGTTGTTTAAATGGAACTGAAAGAAGGTTGATTGTTGCTATCAAGAGGGAAGGTTTTAGCGTGACGTCACATATGACAGACAGGAAGTGGGTTGTAAGATACGGGGATTGAACAGTAGAGGGAGCCATTCAACTCTTAGAAGGCTATATAAAGGGGGGAGCAACGACCGAGAGTTAGAATGCAGTAAGATTTATTTGGGTCTGGTTCTCCGGACATCGCGTCTGTACTTAGGCTGTAACCTCGTGGTCTTAATAAAAGTCTCTAAAACAACGATACAGCGTAAGGGGATTCTTTGATCGACAGCAACACCCACGAGCATTCGACACGATACCACACGGGCACGGCATCACTACCACTAAACCAGCCCCCAGGACAGTCTGTCTCATTCTTACCTGGCCATCTGTTTGTAAGGCCTCCTCTGCCACAGCAAATATGTGAAGGTCCATATCTCCCATGTTCTGTCCAGAGTACGCATGGATGACTGCATCGCCATAGACGTGAAGCTGCTTGTATGGGTTAACAGCCACCAGGATGGTTCCTGAAAGGGAGTGAAGGAAACCATCAGGGCATACAGTACAGTCAGAGTTATCCTACTTGCTTTCACATAGTATGCTTCTAATATAGAGTTTAACAGAATAGAATAGCATAGAATATAATACAATACAATACAATACAATACAATAGCATATGTGTATTATCCTCAGAGAAGAAGTCTATTTTTCACAACTCGGCATGGACATTTTACACAAACGCCAAACCACAACTCATCACCCAGACAATACATTTCCAGTTCCATCTCTACGTCCAGTAAAGACAGCAGATAAACAGTAAAACGAAGATGTCGCATTAGACAGCTGGGGAAGCGTTTCCTTTAATATCCCAGTCAAAACTGTTCGCTGCTCTGGCACCCCAATGGTGGAACAAGCTCCCTCACGACGCCAGGACAGCGGAGTCACTCACCACCTTCCGGAGACATTTGAAACCCCACCTCTTTAACGAATACCTGGGATAGGATAAAGTAATCCTTCTACCTTACCCCAACCCTCCCCCAAAAAAAGGGGTTATCCCACTGGCTACAATTTGTAAGTCGCTCATCATGATTTTGGACTCCACGAAGTGCACTTTGAGGTTGTGCAGTACGGCTGGCTCATGGAGGTAGCTGAGAGCTGTCAAGTCATTCTCCCAGAACCAGGATATCAGGGTTGCGAAGGTGAGGGAGCTGAGGACTGGATTTGTCCAGGGGGTACAGCATCTCCTACAGAGAAAAACAGTGTGATGTTGGTGATTTAAAGCCTCTAGGGACAGTTTCCAGGACATAGAGTTAGCCTAGTCCTGGACTAAAAAGCATGTTGAAATGCAGACTTTTAGCCCTTTCACATTTCATATTGTTGCCACTGACAGATAGAAGATGAATGAGAGTAATGAGTTTAGAGATAACTGAAAGATTCTCCCAATAAATGAATTATAATGCAAGTGTATGCTGCCATTCCGACTGAGACTGCACATGCAGTACAATGCAGACAGAGCACTGTTTGGTCTATAGATCATAGTCTCTGTGTTCCTTACAGTGACACACTCAAAGCTGCAGTTCTAAAGTATCATCTCCAGGTTTGAAGTCTCTCAGGATCTCTGCGGACTTCCAGACATGCTCTGCATCCGGTATCCACACTCTGTTGTACTGAAGGAGCAAATTAATGAATGCATGAATTTTTGTATTTCTGTCTTTGTCACATTTATGTGACCCATTCCTTACAGAATAATAAGACACCGTTTTCATTCGGTAAATACAATTACAGTAGCCTACAAACTGGCTACTTTATGGAACACCATCTTTGTATTAGTTGCAATGCATTATTTTCAAGATGTCCTACAAGGAGACGCGTGAAGCTAATTAGCATAATAACGTCACAGAGAATATATTTTTTGCCATCCATCAGCAAAAGAGGGGGACTCGACACGGTCTTTACACAGGGCCTGAGGACAACAGAGTCAGAACAACTCAATAACACATAGTGACTCAATGACAGACAGGACAGACAATCAAATCTTATTTGTCACATGCTTTGTAAAACAGGTCCTTTTCCAACAATGCAGAGTTAAAGAAAGAAACACATGTAGTGTATTAAGATTATGACTATTCTAGTGGGACAAAGAAGGGATGTTTACTTTAGTTCAAAAGTAGCCATTTGTAGGGTGACGCCCCAGGGGAGATAGGTGATTGGACAGCAGAGGGAGCAACCCATATTTTGGCATTGTTTATAAGTATGGGCTAGACAAAGAGGGGGTTAGAAGCAGACAGATTATTTTGGGACACTGTTTTCTCCAGACACTGCAGGTCTGTAAACTTATGCTGAAAACTTATGATATGAATAAAACTTGTGATCAAAGTTCAGTATAAGCGGACTCCTTTGTTTGACAGCAATAATAAATATAAATAAATAACTAGCAACATTTACTCGACACAACACACATTTAATAAAAAATGTAAATAGTGACAAGAGGAATAAATACACAGTAGATAAATGACAATAATGAGTAAAAAATAACATATCTACAGTTGAAGTCGGAAGTTTACATACACTTGGGTCGGAGTCATTAAAACTCGTTTTTTCAACCACTCCACAAATTTCTTGTTAACAAACTATAGTTTTGGCAAGTCGGTTAGGACATCTACTTTGTGCATGACACAAGTAATTTGTCCAACAATTGTTTACAGACAGATTATTTCACTTATAATTCACTGTATCACAATTCCAGTGGGTCAGAAGTTTACATACACTAAGTTGACTGTGCCTTTAAACAGCTTGGAAAATTCCAGAAAATAATGTAATGGCTTTAGAAGCTTCTGATAGGCTAATTGACATTTGGGTCAATTGGAAGTGTACCTGTGGATGTATTTCAAGGCCTACCTTCAAACTCAGTGCCTCTTTGCTTGACATCATGGGAAAATCTAAAGAAATCAGCCAAGACCTCAGAAAAAAAATTGTAGACCTCCACAAGTCTGGTTCATCCTTGGGAGCAATTTCCAAACGTCTGAAGGTACCACGTTCATCTGTACAAACAATAGTACGCAAGAATAAACACCATGGGACCATGCAGCCGTCATACCGCTCAGGAAGGAGACGCGTTCTGTCTCCTAGAGATTAACGTACTTTGGTGCGAAAAGTGCAAATCAATCCCAGAACAACAGCAAAGGACCTTATGAAGATGCTGGAGGAAACAGGTACAAAAGTATCTATATCCACAGTAAAATGAGTCCTATATCGACATAACCTGAAAGGCCGCTCAGCAAGAAAGAAGCCACTGCTCCAAAACCGCCATAAAAAAGCCAGACTACAGTTTGCAACTGCACATGGGGACAAATATCGTACTTTTTGGAGCAATGTCCTCTTGTCTGATGAAACAAAAATATAACTTTTTGGCCATAATGACCATCGTTATATTTGGAGGAAAAAGGGGGTCTTGCAAGCCGAAGAACACCATCCCAACCGTGAAGCACGGGGTGGTAGCATCATGCTGTGGGGGTGCTTTGCTGCAGGAGGGACTGGTGCACTTCACAAAATAGATGGCATCATGAGGAAGGAAAATTATGTGGATATATTGAAGCAACATCTCAAGACATCAGTCAGGAAGTTAAAGCTTGGTCACAAATGGGTCTTCCAAATGGACAATGACCCCAAGCATACTTCCAAAGTTGTGGCAAAATGGCTTAAGGACAACAAAGTCAAGGTATTGGAGTGGCCATCACAAAGCCCTGACCTCAATCCTATAGAACATTTGTGGGCAGAACTGAAAAAGCGTGTGCGAGCAAGGAGGCCTACAAACCTGACTCAGTTACACCAGCTCTGTCAGGAGGAATGGGTCAAAATTCTCCCAACTTATTGTGGGAAGCTTGTGGAAGGCTACCCGAAACGTTTGACCCAAGTTAAATAATTTAAAGGCAATGCTACCAAATACTAATTGAGTGTATGTAAACTTCTGACCCACTGGGAATGTGATGAAAGAAATAAAAGCTGAAATAAATCACTCTACTATTATTCTGACATTTCACATTCTTAAAATAAAGTGGTGATCCTAATTGACCTAAGACAGGGGATTTTTACTAGGATTAAATGTCAGGAAGTGTGAAAAACTGAGTTTAAATGTATTTGGCTAAGGTGTATGTAAACTTCCGACTTCAACTGTAGCTAGCTACAACATTTCCTTACCCCACTGAAGTCATTCATTTTCCTTCTTGGATGTCCTCTGTTTACATAGTAGGGTAATGGTGTGTATCACCCATCCATTTCAGTCATTTAGCAGACACTCTCATCCAGAGTGACTTACAGTTAGTGAGTGCATCCATGTTTTTATTTTTATTTTTTCATACTTTGCCCCCCGTGGGAATCGAACCCACAACCCTGGCGTTGCAAGCGCCATGCTCTACCAACTGAGCTACACGGGGCCCATGCATTCTAGCTAGCTAGCTACTGTACTACCCATGTTCACTTCCTACAAGTGTCCTCCCTGCCCCCTAATTTTGGCAATGCATGAACACGAAGTACCCTTTAACATTAATAGATCATAGTATGGCCCCCCCCAAAAAAGGTCAGATTTACAGCAAATCTGACCAACAAAACCAGAAGAGATATTTCATCAAGTCAACCTAAAAGGTCTATTTAATGAAACATTTACTAATGTACAAAGAGAAAAGAGAACATGTACAAAAATTAACTTTATTTTACAGGATGAGATAATGCATGATGCAAACATGGAATGACTTTGTGAAAATGTGAAGATGTGGACTCAGTGAAGGTGTAGACTCAGTGAAGGTGTAGACTCAGTGAAGGTGTAGACTCAGTGAAGGTGTAGACTCAGTGAAGGTGTGGACTCAGTGAAGGTGTAGACTCAGTGAAGGTGTAGACTCAGTGAAGGTGTGGACTCAGTGAAGGTGTAGACTCAGTGAAGGTGTGGACTCAGTGAAGGTGTAGACTCAGTGAAGGTGTGGACTCAGTGAAGGTGTGGACTCAGTGAAGGTGTGGACTCAGTGAAGGTGTGGACTCAGTGAAGTTGTAGACTCAGTGAAGGTGTAGACTCAGTGAAGATGTAGACTCAGTGAAGGTGTGGACTCAGTGAAGGTGTGGACTCAGTGAAGGTGTGGACTCAGTGAAGGTGTGGACTCAGTGAAGGTGTGGACTCAGTGAAGGCGTCGTTCATCCCTTTCTGCACCCTGGTGCAGTGGAACAATTCTTGTTCAGTCTCATAGTAGCATGATTCTGATTCTGAATAGCTGAACTCCTGCAAGTAGTGAAAGGACATTTAGATGTCTATGGGACAGTTTCCCAACCATAACATTGTCAAACACTCACAGTGGGCTATTAATCTTTCCAACTTGAGAGCCTAGGGAGGACGAATGACCTGTCGTACTACAGCAACCATGTACTTGTTCATATGTGTCTGTGTAAGGGTTCTCTTATACAGACAATAGAACAGATAGTGCTGAGCTTGCTTTATTCAGGGTGCATCGTCTAGTTATTCACACAGTATATGTCATCACTATGTTGACAGGCTATTTTCAGTCAATCATTTGGAATGAAAAGGTCTAGGTCAGGGGGTCTCCAACCATTTCTAGCATGAGAGCTACTTTTAAAAAATTACATGTTGCGAGCTACAATTTTTTTTTTTTTTTTTTTTTGTATAGCCTGGCTGTAGTCTACTGTACATAGTGGGGGAACATATTGTCTGTAGTCTACTGTACATAGTGGAGGAACATATTGTCTGTAGTCTACTGTACATAGTGGAGGAACATATTGTCTGTAGTCTACTGTACATAGTGGGGGAACATATTGTCTGTAGTCTGCTGTACATAGTGGGGGAACATATTGTCTGTAGTCTACTGTACATAGTGGAGGAACATATTGTCTGTAGTCTGCTGTACATGGTGGAGGAACATATTGTCTGTAGTCTGCTGTACATAGTGGAGGAACATATTGTCTGTAGTCTACTGTACATAGTGGAGGAACATATTGTCTGTAGTCTACTGTACATGGTATGCTGGTGCACATCAAGTGGCACTACAGAAAACTGCTGTGAGGATTTTTCAATTAGCTACCAACAGCTGACATGTTCACATCTGGTTAGTTTTATCAGTGTTGTTTATACTGAACAAAAATATAAACACAACATGTAAAGTGTTGGTCCCATGAGCTGAAATAAAAGATCCCAGAAAAATTTTCCATACGCACAAAAAGCTTCTTTCTCTCAAATGTTTTGCACACATTTTGTTTACATCCCTGTTAGTGAGCATTTCTTCTTTGCCAAGATTATCCATCCACCTGGCAGGTGTGGCATATCAAGAAGCTGATTAAACACCATGATCATTACAGCATCTAGTGCTGGGGACAATAAAAGGCCACTCTAAAATGTGCAGTTTTGTCACACAACACAATGCCAGTGTGCAATTGGCATGCTGACTGCAGGAATGTCCACCAGAGCTGTTGACAGAGAATTGAATGTTCATTTATCTACAATAAGCCGCCTCCAAAGTCGTTTTAGAGAATTTTGCAGTACGTCCAAACGTACACAAACCACAGACCACATCCAGCTTCTTTACCTGCGGGTCCGTCTGAGACCAGCCACCCGGACAGCTGATGAAACTGTGGGTTTGCACAACCGAAGAATTTCTACATAAACTGTCAGAAACCGTCTCAGGGAAGCTTATCTGC